AACAGATAATTTTTTGATTTATATTAATACAAATATAATAAAACCAAATGTGAAATAGGCTGTAATAATTTTATATATTTCTTCTCATTGAATTAAACTAAACACAAAACTCCATTATTTTATTTGCAATTTGAAATGATCAAAAGATGTGTCATCAACTGCTTCATACTTATAAAATTTGGCACAGAACAATACAACTAATACAAACATCAGCAGAATATAGCTACACCACACTAGACGCACATAAATCAAATTTCTATCACTCTGAAACCAACCAGTCATAATTTATATCCAAAAATTGCAAAATAGCAAACCTGACTTAAGTAGGCTTCAAATTTGACATTTTGATCAAAAGTGAGTTTTATTCTGCTTCCATTTGAGTTGAAATTTGGATGCGAGTAAAGGACTGATGTGTTATAGCCCTAAAATCATTTTTTATTGTTAGTTACACATTTTTTCAGCGCATATACCTGACTTAAGTCACTTAGGTCACATGACTGACTCAGTTTCTCGGGCAGGTAGTGTTTCGGTCCTTTAATTAGAGCGCAAACTTGAGTTTCATTCGTGACTAGAAAATCAAGAGTGATTATGGCATTTTTATTGTAATTGTTGTAACAAATAGGTTGCCAATCTGTCAATTTATAATAAGCTTTCACTTTTGTAATATTTTTAAAATCGGTGAGATTTACACTAATCAGTGTTACCAAATTAACTTCCTCGATATATGGTTTGACAATTTTTTCATCCGTGAAATATAAATCTAAATTATTTAAGTGTTGATTCAGTGATTTCCAATTCTGAAATAAAATGGTTTAAATGTTTGTTAAAATTCATCCAAGTTACCTGTGCGAGGTCAGTATTTAAAATATTGTTCGTATATTTTATATAAAGTGATAGAGTGAAAGTTGTGACGGTCATAAAAACAAGAGAAATGAAAAAAATTGCTACTGGTGGTCTTGTTTTGAAAAAATCGTAGTTTATTTTTGCACAAAACATTTTCGTTTATCGTTGATTATAAGATTAGATAAGTGTTAATTTCGATGTCCTAGAGATTTGAAATCGATTACTCAATGTTTGCAGGGCCGGACTTGGCCCCACACTAAATTATTGGCCAAGGCTCAAATTAAAAAATATATTTCAACTTTTTGGAATATTTTTGAAAATTATTTTAGTAACCCTGGGTGTTTGTAAAGTCATCGCCGACTCCATTCATACTAGCGTATACAGCCTTTCCATAAGCATCAAATTTGTGGGCCTAGAAAGCAATCCATGAAACGTTCCTCTATTAGCGACATCAGTAGATTAAAATAAAAATAAAATTTAGAGATTAGGTCTCGTTTTGTTATGTTTGACAGTTAAAGGGATTAATTTTTCATCGACATTTTGCTGCATCTTAAAAATTATAATGAGCAAAAAGTGTTTCATTTGTGAAAATTGAAATGGACCATTGAATGTAGTGTTTTGACTATACACAAAAAAAAAGATGAAAAAGGCGTCGTCGTCGCCTTTTTCATCTTTTTTGTGCATATTTATAACACTGCCTCCCTCCTTATTGCTGTTCGTCCCGAACAGCTTTTTCAGGAATTCTCCATTGAGGTGCGTCGCGGCCATTGTAGGAGCTAAGTCTTTTTACGTGAACAACTTTCGGCTTGATCTTGGGACTTAAATGGATCCTGTAGACTAAGTCATTGATCTTTTTAATGACTAAATACGGCCCTTCCCAAGGTTTCTGAAACTTTGGGCTGAAGCCTTTTCTTCTACGGGGCTGATATAACCAGACYGCATCTCCACACTGAAAGGTGTTGGTAGCGGGCTTCGAATCTAGACGCAACTTCATCGTATCGCTCATGAGAAGCCTATCTTTAACGAATTTATGAAGTTTCCTCTTTCCTCCAAATCGGCAACACATGCTGGTAGATCGACCAGCTGCTCTTCGTCGTCTTCCGTAGGTGGTTTACCTAACATTAAATCTATAGGGAGTTTAACAAAGCTGGAGTATAACCTGTAACTTCATGCCGAGAACTTCTATACGCCAAATAACATTGGTGGCAGTGGTGAGATATAGTGCTATCTAGAGACGCACGGGAAATTGTGAAGATTTCGAAAGAATTGCAATTTTTGTTTTTTTTTATGGTGAATACACGTTTCACGGAATACGACAACATGGCCGAATTCAATTGAATTCCATTAATTAATGGAGGTGATCAGAAGATTAGAGAAGAACGCAAAGAAGAGAAAGAGGATGAAGAACTGTCGTCAACACGAAAAACAACAAGAAGAACTTCGTCGTAAGGAGGATAAAGACTCTCCTTGTCAAAACTAAAGGGAATACAAAACACAGTTGAAATCGTATTTACAGAAAAAATTAACGAAAAATGAGTTGAAGGAAGTTGACTATAAAGTTGATGAAGTCAGGAACGAAGTTCGAGAAGAACTGGAACGAAAAGTGGAAGAGATGGAAAAACGACTTCAAAATCTAGATTGTAAAGAAGCCCAATCAGTGATAACGACGATACGCGATCATCAAAGACCATCAAAATTCAATGGAGAATTCCTGAAAAAGCTATTCAGGTCGAACAGTGTTACGAATATGCACTACAAAATATAGGAAGGCGGCGGCATCGCGACGTCAGTCACAGTCAGTCATAATTAGTGGAATTGGGAGATCGACGTGAGAAGGGTTTCGTTGAAGATTTGCACTAGATTAAAGAATTTTATTATAACAGTATGATAAATCTTCTAGAACGCGTCACGCTCCAAAGGAAACTGCAATTTGTGAAATTTGAAAATTTGCAGGAAAGTAAATGTTACAATTGTTGACACATTTAATAAAATATTGATCTGTCACACAACTAATACATTTTTTCAGCTTAAGAAACGCAGTATCGATATCATTCAGACATCACATTATAGTTTTTAAAATGCCAAGTATCCGAACTTGCTGTGTTCCACACTTCGGGCAAGGGGAGAAAGAGGATGTTATTTTACATCAATTTCCAAAAAGTAGAAAATAAAAAAACGAATGGCTTAAGAGAATATTTAGTACCATCGGCAATATACCCCCAAATTCCGTGATTTGTGGAAAACACTTTGAACTAATGAGCTATTATAAAAACAAAAAATTGTTACCAAATGCAGTTCCATTCTTGCTCTTGAATTATAAAAGAATTAGTCGTTTTCAGGTAATGTCTACCACTTCCATTAATTCAGAATGTAAGCCGTTAGAAACGCCTGCACCGTGTCTCCAGACTCCAGTCATTTGACAAAAATTATATAATTTCAAGTCCATTCAAATCCAGAAAATTGACAATTACAGTAAATGTCAATATCGTGTAGTGAAAATTGAGTCAGATGCAAAGGACAATCAAACACAGACGCCGTTTTTAGGGCTTAAGGGAAGGCCGTATACGCTAGTTTGAATGGACTCGGCGATGGTAAAGTGTAATAGTTTGGCAGATGGCGCTACTATCGGGATGTTTTTGGAGGCAAAAATTGAATGTAAACAATATACAAGCTTTATTTTATTGTGTAATGGCACCATTAATATTATACCTAATGGAAATATATTTAAACCGTGTCAAAAAAGCAACACTTATAAATATCTTACAAACTTAGTGGAATAAGATAAGAATATCAGACTAGTAAAATAAATAACCCCAAAACAGTCAACTTTTGAACGAATCTGTTTACATCTTTGGTTGAATCAAACCAGGATTCGTGTAAAAATCCATCCATCCATCATTTCGGAAAAAATTATCACGTTCTACATTAAATTTTACAATTTTAGGCTTCAAGATCACAATATTATCAACATCTATAAATACACTTTCATAAATAATAGATCTGCAAAACGGAGTAACAATACTATAATCATATAAAAATGAAAACAAATCACCGAATTAAAAAAAAAAGGTGGCACACCATTTACAAAAATATATTTCTCGCAACTTCAACAACTAAACAAAACTCAACAAAAATTACTGAATGGAACACAATTGCTTACGTAATTCAGATTCATTCTCGTCTAGTTCAACTTCAGGCACGATTTGACCGTTCGAAACGACTTCGGGAAGATACGGTTTGTAATCGAGGCCCGACCTTTCGTAAAACAAAATATATGCCGAACTCGTGTCGATTTTGGGAGTTTTCACCTCACTGTAAACACATTTATAATTCGATTCCAGTTCGGTGGTTGATTCGTCGCCGATTTCCTTAAAGTCGGTATTACAGGTCTCTTCCTTCTCACTCGATTGCGTATTCTTCCTGCGACGCAACGGCGTACAAGCTGACTTTTTCAATTTAGGCGGTTCAACAATTTCGGTTAAAACCTCTCGACACGAACTGTCATTATAACAATACCAATTTCCGTTCGGATTGCAAGCGTAGGAAATATAATGGCCCCCGTTTAACATCCCTGAATGACTCTGAAACGTCAAACATTACATTATTTTGCACTAGTATCGAAAAGTATCATCACTTACCACAACAGCATACAATTGATATTTCAGATCGAAGGGATCCTGTCCGGGTAGCAATTTATGCTGATGGTAGTCTTTGAGATGCTCGTCTATGATTGGTGTTTTTAACAAACTGGTCGATTCGAGCCGAGCTCTCACTTTGTTCAATTGGACTTTCGGTTTGTTGTCGGTTGTTGTTAAAAGTTTTGAATGTTCATTTGTTGTACAATTTGTTTCAATGCTTTCTTCGATTGTTTTCACCGATGTTTGACTATCACATGAACTTTCCAGATCTTGACGTTGTTTTTCACGAAGTTGTAGATGGCGCAATATTGTCTCTTGAGGTACGGATGCAAGATATGCCGTCGGATCGAAATCTTTGAATGGGAAATTTACCACTTTTTGAGTTTTTACCCATTTGTTGTTCACGCAATCGAAGCGCTTCAGATGGATTATCTGCACAAACAGAATAGAAATATTTATAAAAAATCATACCAAAAAAAAGGACTTAAAATTGAATTGAAATTAAAATGACTTAAAAACAAAGAGATGTAAAACCTGACAAGTCTCAACATTACTTAGTGTAGCCAACATAATTTTTAATTGTGAGAAAATTAAAGATACTATTACGAGTAGGTAGTTAATGCAATCGATTTCAAGCAACTGTTCTTTAATTTTCAATTGTATTAGTAGTTTTTTACTCTAACAATGTTTGATTTAATTTTTGAAGTTTTATACCGTGATTTTTTAAATTTCTGCTCTAGTTATCCTTGACATTTATGTCAGCAATGAAACGTATCGCGTAACTAAAACGGTGTATTTTGAGTTAACTAAATATCAAACATTTGAATTTGAATCGTTCACAACCGACAATATAGTAATGAAAAAAAAACAGATTTTGATAAAAATCGAGAAAAATAATGGACAGCACGCGTGGAAACAACACAAAATTGCAAAGAAGTTATTTAGGTTGTGTTTATTTTATGAAATTAGTAAAAAAATCATGCGTTATTATTTTTTTTTCCTTAAATACATAAATATTATCCAAAATTTTTTTTTATTTTATTTTTTACGGGCTTCTTATTCATTTTATATTTTCGTTTTTTGTCATTTGAATCTAAAAATATTAAAAAAAAATTAAAATGAAACCTTTTTTAATTTTGTCAAGAATCACTGTTTGAGTTAGCAATACTGAATTTTATTTTGAAATAGTACAATTAAAGTAGTTTCCGGTTACTCGCTGCATCATTTAATAATTCAAAGTTCAATTTATATAAATAAAAAACATTAGCTACTACCTTATCGTGTCAAACAAAACCACATCCGACTGCAGTGTTGCAAACAGCCAAAAAAGTAAGTTCTTATTTGTTGCCAACTCAAATAGTCATTTTTGATCAAATATTTCAGTGATGCCAACATAATTTCAGTATCACTCACAGTACTAGAAAAACTCTTTATGAACAACTTTTTTTGTCGTTTTAGGCGAGAGACAAACCTTTATTGAAGTCATGCTTACCAGAATAGGTGGCAAACGCCAAATTTGCAACTTCTTCGTCGCTGGCTGTTTATCTTGACAGTTGGAACAATGATATTTCGTCTCTAATCTCTCCTCGGAAGTGAAAGCTTTCAAGCAATTATCCAAATCGATCGGTTCTGTATGCAACTTCTGACATCGACTGACAGACTCGTCCTCCGTCCATAACTATACAAATCTATCGATTTAACCAACAATTTCTTCGATAAAATCATCACTTACCTTCTCTCTATTGCTCTGATATCTCAAATGCAAAGCGGTAGGATCCCAATCAATGGCGATACACATTCCATTTAAATTCCCCCGACAGTGATCGACCACCAGATCGTTGCTACAAGGTATGGTACATCCGCGACAGAACTGGGTCCAATGACATATTGCACAAATCTGGCCACCTTGAAGGACAGCCTTCAACGTAAAAGGAAATTCGTACCCCAAGGAGTCATCACTGTTAATAAAAAAAAATTACCAAAAAAAAAATCATTCTTTGTTACTTACCAGTCTGTAGCATGATTAGTTTGATCGCTTTGCGGCAGAGGGCTTAGAAATCTCGTTACTTGTCCCCAAACTGCTTCGTATAAACTCTGACACGTACTATTTGGACGAAAACCGAGCAAAAGTGGTGAACCAAATAAACTCGGTTTGCTTTTCTGTTGTGAAAGAAAGTAGGTTTCTTGTCTGACACATTTCCGATGCAAGGCTATTAGATAACTTGGGAATTTCGATGATGAGGATGTGTCCGAAGAGGAATGTGATATGATTGAAGCTTTTTTCAAGACGACTCCTCCGTTCATTAGATGGCTGTCGGTTTTTTGCCTGTTCTGTAAAAGCAAACAGCGTTTTTCACAAAGATTAAAATGCTAATATAATCAATTTCCTTTTTTTAGTATAGTAAAGAGACAACAACGAACATTTTTAGGTACCTCTACGTTAATTATACAAAAGGCAAGACATACGAACAACATTAAATACGATACCTACAGAGTGTTTAATCATTATTAATTATTATTAGTAATTAATCATAGTAATCATTGTGCTAGGTCTATTCATATTTATTAGTTCTAGTTGCTTCGCCACTAAGAAGTTTTTAAATACCTTTCTATTTTGAGTCTGAAAGAAAGCTTATTTTGACACCAAAACCGATGCTTTAATCAGCCATTTCAACACCAATTTGGGTGCTGAAATAAACTAGTACTATTTACTTTCTAGAGGTTGGTAATGATGATTTTCAGCGGCGTTTTGAGCGATTTCTCTTATTTCAAGTGGTGTGCATGAAATATTTGCAATATTTATTGTAACAAAATTTTGAAAAGTACTCGGACTTGATACTTCGGAAATCAAATTTTTCAAACTTTGTGACATTTATTACCAACCACCACCTTATTAGAGAAGAAGTTCCTAAATTTTGAAAAAGCGACTTTTACGTTAAAAAAGTACGTAAAACGCGCAAAATAAAAAAATAGTATAAAAAAACTCGTTTCATCAGTCATTTGTGAGAACTTTTTCGTTATAAAACGCGTTCTTTAATATACTATTTTAATACTCAAAATGTTATAAACTAGATTTTTTAAGTAAAGGGTTTGGAAATTTCGTAGCCATGTTTAATAATACGTTTTTGTTAAGATAATGTCCTAAAATAACAGTCAATTTATAATGTAATAATGTAAAATATCTGAAGGTTGAGTTTTTTGTTTTAAATCTGAAACTAATAGTTTTTAATTTATTTGTATTTTTACATTCTTAAAAAATACTAAGCAAGCCTTCAATTTAATTTTTGATTAAATAAGTCTGACTATGAAATTAAGTTGGCAACATTGAATAATGTAAAGATAGAAGATAAAGACAAAATGATAGGCAACACTGAATTATTGGTGAACGGCCGATAGGCTACTAGATTAAGATAAAAATTTACAATAATTATTTAGGATACCCTATGTTATTCAATGTTGCCAACTTAATTTTAAAATCACAGACCACATTAATGCATTTTCCACATTTTAAAAAAGTCTTTAAAAGTCATTTTTATCAAAATCTGAATTACAAACTTATTTTATATTAAACTTTCCATATTTCACTCTAATTATTTCATGTATCTGCGATAAATAAATATTTTTTCATTACTAGTTGTAAAAAGCACCATTATTTAGTTTAAGAGGTTGTGAAGTTGTTTTTTTCTCCTAGTGGTCAATAATTATTTTTATTAAAGACCAAGGGCAATAATGCATGTCCATTAAGTAAGGTTATATTTTTCACCGTTGTATTTCTGGGTAATAAATGTGCTAGTAGTGTAAAACACGTTAGAGAAGATTTTTATAGTCTCGCATTTATTGTTTCCCCTCGATGCTACGCATCTCGGCTATAGAAAATCTCTTCTCTACCTTGTGATATTATATACTATTATATCTACTGACAGTCTGTCGCAGTATTTGAATTTATAATAAATCATAATTCCGTAGCTAACTCTGTGTATTAATATTAGTTGTCATCATGGCAACAATGTTTATGCCACAGGAGGCTGTGTTTTTATTGATTGTCTCCTAGAGAGAACAATTTTTTGGCTTCATTCGTAAGAAAATTTAAAACGAAAATCAGCTTAAAAGCAAGTAAAACACCATAATACTAATAGTAAAAAAATTAAATTGTAAAGTCCATTGTATTTTAAACAATTGTCAAAGTGTTGTCATGTTAGTAACAGCCACTAGTTATTTGATATTATTACGTTGGCAGTCGTTTTGTTATGAAGGCACTTGCGCTATTGAATTCGCAATTACTTTTAAATTTAAAATAAAAAGTATAACGTAAAGAGCGCAGAAAACGGTGAAGGTGGAATTGGTTGGTATTAGAATTATTTCTGTAACGTTGCGGATGGAGGGAATACGCTGCCCCGAACAAAGGCCCTTTAAAACAGAACTATTACGAAATGGTTTTTTTGTGAATCCTGTCGTTTTTGAGGAAATTAATACAATAACGAATCAGTCTTAACCTAGCTGTTGTACGAGTTAATTGAATTATAATAATTGTTCGAAAAAATTATTGTAAAATTGTGTTTTATCTCAAGAAAAGTCGTGTACAAAATGAGTTTCCGAAAGCAAGAATCTGGATCCTAACACAACAAGAAAAATAGCTATGATTAGATTTTGTGAATACATCTACGCAAACAGAAAAACCAAGCATGTTAAAAATCTTCATGAATTTGACAATTTTGGTTGTCTAAAAACTCTAAAAAAAAAAGAACGCCATTCAATAAATTGCAAGACTGATCCAGTATTTTATTACGAGTATATTAATACAGGTGTTCCAAAAAGTAAGGTTTTAGGGTGGTACAGTCTGGTCTTTGAGGAAATTTTGACATTGACAATTGTTTAAAAAATGGACTTTATGCAACTTAGAATTCAACTCTGCGAAAACATTTTTTCCGTATCCTATCAACAAACCCCACGCCGCTCAATAACAATAACATAAAGAATCTAAAGGGCGTTTTGGGCGCGTGCATACCTTAAAGCATAGAATGTTGGGCATGCAAAGGGCCGAACCACCTCTTACCTCAGGACTGCGGGCCAAGGGACTATCGGAAACGGCAACCTCCACATCTAAACACAAAAATCCATGGAAATCTGGAAATTTCTATATGTTAACACACTTACCGACATCGTTGCTAATAGTTTCTGTCTCTTGATGATCTTCTGGTAATTCATAAGCGTACAATTCGGTCGCCGTCCCCGGATTTATTCGGACGTCGTCGTTTAACACTTGTCTGATTTGTGAATAAGCGAGTTCGGCGAGAAGTAAACGTTCAGTTTTGATATTGCAAAGACGTTCGAGTTGCTGTTTCAGTTCGATATATTTTGCTTCGGAGTTGAGTCGGAGGCCGTATTTTATCGGCGTCTCGCCATTTAATCTTACAACTACACAAATTGATAAACGTTAATTTACTCAATTTGATAGTTTTTGGCAATGTTTACTTACCTAAAACTTCACATAACGTATAACTTTCCATTGGTAATGGCAAACTTAACAAATTGAATGGATCGAATCGGACTGATTCGTGACCGCACGTCTGACAAGTGACTTTACTTTTTAATTGGCCGTAAAACAGATCAGTTATGATAGAATGATCGCGCGCTAGATGTTGATTCCATGCCTCGTCAGCGACAACTTCGTCAGGACGACCTCCTGAATCTTTCAGTTCTGAGTATTGTTTACGTGCTACCCTGTTTAAATCCTCGTGGAGGGCGTCCAGCAACCATGCGAGGAGTTCCTGCAAAAATAAGAAAAAAGTCAAAAAATCAATATTCAAAGGGTAACAGAAATATAATACATTTATTTTTGTTTTAGACCAGGATAAGCTATGGAAATTTGTGTGTCTGAATGACAATAAAATAGGCTACTCGGGTCTAAAACAAAAATTAAGTATTATAAGTACTATTGGGGACAAAATACTTTGATCATCAATGTCACTGGAGTGACATAAAGTTGTAAAGCGAGCATTAACCTTATTTTTTACCACTGTCAACAGCTGTCAAAATTTAAAATTCTTAAAACGTTCTTCGCCACTTGTTGACAAATAACATACAGGCTGTGTCAGAACTCGCGCCCCAGAGAAAAATTTCAAGTAAGTACCAGGAACATAGGAAAAATGTTTAAAAAATTCTACCTGTCAAAAAATTTTGACATTTGACTTTTTTATGTTTATTTAATAATACTGATGATTTCGTATGTTTTTTTTTTTTATTGATTTAGTAAGGGTACAAACTTTTGCCAATAAAAACAATTTCGGATACAACTTCCTTGTTTTCTCTTCTAATAGTCTGTAGCAAAAAAACATTAAGTCAAGTACAATGATAATATTAAAATTAAAACAACAAAAAAAAATGAAGACGGAAAATTATTTTTTCAACAGAAATAAATAGTCAAAGTGCAAAATTTAAACTCTCATAACTTCGAAATTTTTATAGGTAGAATTATTTTAAACATTTTTTTCATGTTCCTGGTACCGTGCAATCGAAAAAAAAAATAGAGTAGGCGACGACTAATATTCTATAGTTGGCAACACGTTGGCTGGGAATCTGGGCTGAAAATTTTCCACACAAACTGAAAGTGAAAAATGACCATTCATCCTTTTCGTCTTGTACAGCATTTATGTAATAACTTGCAACAATAAAAAATTTTTGCTCTAAAGTGAACATTATTTTACTCAAAATGAATAAAACGCTGACATTTGATGTCAAAAATCAGGATTGCCATCTGAAAGACTTTAATCACCGCCTACTCTAATTTATTTTTTTTTAGATCGCACGGTATCTTACCTTACATTTTTCTCTGGGACGCATGTTCTGGCGCACCTGTATAACAGTACTTTTTGCTGTATCCAATCTTTCTGCAATTTGGCCCATGGACAATCCCTCAGAAGCAAGGGAGACGATTATAAATTTTTGAACAGTGGAAGGTGGCATATTTTTGACAAGAGAAAAGTCGATAATTTAAAATTGCCCAATGTTGACTTGACGTTAATGCTTGAATTAGATGAAAAACAAAAAATGCTTTCGGAAAAATTTGTTAATACTGGGCTAATAACATTGGTTAAAACGTGTTACAAGCAGTTTTTGGGATTATGCCAAAAAATGGAACTTATTAAACGGTTGGCTGAAATATTCAAGATACAAATTTGGATGAAAGTACAAAAATATCATCATCATTTACAAAATTTTAAGTAGAAAAGAGGAAAAGACAAAATGGGGTACAAAAAAATAGCGGGGTTTAGCTTCGTAGTGTTTATTTACGGGAGGAATTAAGCCAGCATGTTTTTAATGTTCTAAAAAGTGGGCAAATATTTAGTTTAAATAACTTGGCATGAATTTGAAAAAAAATAAACTTGATTTTTCGGCTTCGTTTTTTATAAAAAAAAAAACTAATGGTAAAACGTTGAGAAAATAATACTTCAAAATTCTAGTAAAAACGTCTATTTCTTATGGACATAACGTTTTGCAACTACCCCCATATCATTGTCAATATAATCTGATTAAAATGGTGTGGGGGTTTTGTAAAAAATTACAATAAATGTCACAGATTCAAAATTGATAAAATTACAAGGGTTTGTCAAGAATCCCTATCAAAATTTACAGTCGAAATGTGGGAGAATTGTGTAAAATATGCAGAAAATTTAATTAGAGAGAACTGGGAAAAAACATGGGAAACATAGATGTTTTATTTATATTGTATACAGGGTGTAACGAAAAGGTAGGTACAAAGAGTACCTGAAATTCCCCAGGTGGTGCGGATAATTTGACATTAAAACCACATGTTTTGGTGCTATTTCTTTTGTTTTATTATTATTGTAAAGTACTTACGTATTTAACAACTTAACACTTTTTAAGCCATATTTTTTTATACGTAATCCGATTGACATAATATTTTTTATTCGAAAGGTACTTTATTTTTAAACAATGTTTGTATCGGCTTTGGTTTTAGAGTTAAAAAATAATTGAATTAGACGTGGCATTTATTATTATTGTTTTCAAAGTGGTATTAAAAAATTTAGATTTTAGTTTCTTTTTCTATGTTTGTGTTAGTTAATAACAATGTAATTAATTATTAATAAAAAAAAATCATAATTTTATTGGCGTCCTCTAAGTTTAAAACGTTGTAACTTGGTATAGAGATAAGTTGTGTTAAATCGCTTTACTTCGACTTGAGAAATCTCAGATTACTTTTCGTCTCCATCTTTTCGTTACACCCTGTATTATATCATTTGAAAATGAATCCAATTCGGAAGATGAGATATTATCATCATATTTGCATCTTCGTATGCGCCATATGTCGAAAACTATTTATTAAATGCGAGTTAAAAATTTGAAACAAAATGTTTCAAATCTATTTAACATGGGAAAAAACATCAAAGTAATCAAAAATTATTAAAAATAGCTAACTCAAAAAAAAGAGCAAACAATGAAATTTGGCAACGAACCACACAAAAACAACAAATGCAGTGACATCGTAGTCCTTTCTTGAAATTATTCTTTAATCCAATTTAATCCTTTAAATAAAAACAAAAACAAAAATCAAACAAATTTTGTGGCTATGCAGATAAACTGCTACCATTTTTTTTTACCAAAATTTTGACTTCGTAATTTCCGTTAAAAAAACAGACTTTAGGAGAGACTGGAAACTAATATTAATAAAAAAAAAACCCAAACCTGAGAATCATGCTGTCCCCCGCCTCCTAGATGTGGCGCATGCTTCGTAACGCAATACCTCAATTTCAACGGCGCTACACTCCTCGTCGAACCCGCCCACAACTCCCTACACAATTCGGCATACCTCCTCGCTACCATTCCTTTCGTTCCCAATGGATTCGCGCTATTCAATTCGCACAATTGCCCGTCCCTTTGAAAATACAATGTCAACGGTCTCGTATTGGAGACGGCTTGTAGTGCCGCATTCATAAAACACGTATTGCCAAGATTATGCAATCCTGTGGCACCAGGTGGTAGACATATCGTCGGTCGACGTTCGGCACTGAGTGTCGTCTGACCGCCGGCAACTAAAGCGCCAAGTTCCTCGGGCCATGTTAGGTCCTTATTGCGCACCTCGAGGAGGATCTTATCACCATCAATAACACCCAAGTCCTGTAAGGTGGCGTTCTCGTCTTCGAGAAGAGTGGTGGTGTCTTTGACGTGCCACAGTCGGACATCTTCGATACGGAGGCTGAGTCGCAGACAGAGGAATTCAATCACTTGGTGGACGTTGGCAAGACGGCTGAAGGCGGCGGTGTGAGCGAAGTAGCGCCGAGGGGACGAGATGGGAGAGGTGGTTATGCCAGCAGTGTTCAGGGCGGCAGCTCCATAACTGAAATTCAGAATTTTACATCATACACAATTTTTATAATGTTTATGTAATAAGTAAAGTAAAAAAAATAAATAAATAAAGTCAAATCTATCCCAGAAACATATCTCTTTATTATCATTTTTACTAAACTAAGATCCAAGGACTAATATTTTTGTGTGTTTAATAGTTATTTATTCGACGAGTTAGAGTGTAAATCGGACGGATTATTTCACCGAGTGGGTTATTAAACCACGAGTATAACGAGTGGTTTATCATCCACGAGGTGGAATAAAGCGTCCGATTTACACTCAAACGAGTTGAATACAACATTTTATTCTTCGAATTAGACTCAATAAGGCTTAAACTTGCTTTAAAACTGTTAAAAATAATCTGACGTTTCGTATTGAGAAATGCCAAACAGTTGTCAAAATTTCCTTACATGGGAGAAAAACCGTAGAATTTTGACAGTGTCGAAGAATAAAAAATATAATAAACATGCTATTACTGTTATTAGTTATTACATATTTTTTAAAGAAGATTTAATGGTTTTACATTGACTTCGATAACTAAATAAATAATTTTTTGTTAACATTATAAACAGTTTTTATGTGAAATACCTTGCCCATTAGAACGTAAAAAAAATTCTGAAACTAAATTAAAAACCAGTTTTTTTTTAATAAAACAGAAGTATTTTCTGTGTTTAGTACTAATCAAAGAAGAAGAGGACATATCCCATTAAAAAAATGGCCCATGATGTCATATTTAGAACCATAGTGGGCCAAAAAAATACAGGATGTTTCAAAACTTGCGCCCTCAAAATGTTAACGACTAAATTAATTTGTAATCGAGTTATCCATGGATTTGAATCCGTATGTCTTTTACAAATAATACGTTTACTTGTGGGATCTTTAAAGACATTTTTAATAATGTAATTTTTCATTAGATCGGAAAAAACTGAAGCCTCCACATCTGATTTTGTAGTTGATTTTAATTTTTCGTCAGATCCTAATATTGGGTTTACAGTTCAAGCGTGCAGTTTAAGTATCGACATATGATTTCGGACTCAATTACAAATTAGTTAGATAGAAAATGAATCCGGTTGCTAGGTTTAAAAAATAATACCAATTGATGTTTAAGTTTCAAAAAATGTTTGGCTAACTACCGGGTGACTATTATTAAAGTTTGTAACAAAATAATCTATTGGCAACACTGAATTATTGGTGATCCATCAGAATGTTTCAAGTGACTGTTAAATTAGCAGTCGCCCGTCGCAAATAAATGACAATTAACTATAAAAGTTTGACGTTTGAATTTGGAAGTCAAGGTTGTCAAACAAAAATTTTAAATTTGAGGTTGAGGTGAAAAATCACAATCATTTACAGTCACGCGGTATTAAGATCAGAAAAAAAAATCTGGTGTTAACATCACACGACTTTCCTTATCCTAGTTATTTGGAAAACATCCTAATAACGACAATACACACACACACACACGACCCAATGGCCCAAACCAACTTTTTTGGTGTCTTGAAGCTATAATTCGTCCAGAAATGTAAAAATCTGGGTGGGTCAAATTTCAGCCGATTTTCCTTATACGATAAGGAAAGTAATAGTCTTTCACAAATTTTATAGCCACTTATGACTTTCATTTAAAAAATAACTTTATCTTATTATAGCGAAACAAATGACTACAAAAAATCATTGACTATACAGGGTTGTTTTAAACTTGCATCCCAGAGAAAAATGCCATGTAAGGTAAAATACCAAGAACATGTGAAAATTATATCTATGTTCCTGGTATCTTACGAGTATCTTACTGGTACTTGGAATTTTTCTCTGGAGCGCGAATTCTGAAAAACCCTATATTATTAAATTCTTTGAACAAAAAAAGACGATAGCGAGATGCAAATTGGACCATAATTATTTTTGCAAAAAATAAACTCGACAATATATAGGATGATTTTTAAAAAACGGCAGATGAATTATTGTTTAAAAAAATTATCAAAGTTGAAAAAAAAAAATAAAGTTCATAAAATCTAGTTCTGGTGTCAAATAAGACAATGCCATTATTGTAATATCAAGAAGCAGCAAATGAAAAAAAAATATTGCCAAGTTTATTTCAAATTTTTAATAACGTCAACGTCAAATTTCACACCAAAGTGATTTAGATAGAAAATAATAATTACCCTCCTACAACACTGCTCCAGGACGCCGCCGACCCCACCGCTTGCGACTGATGCATCCATATGTTCAAATTCAATGGATACAACTCCAATTCAACATCGCAACTCCCCGGCGGCAGAATCACCTGTCTCGGCAAAGGCAACGGTCCTCCATACCAATGCGCCAACGCCTTCCACAACGAATCGGGCACCAGTTCGAAATCCCTATGCTGCACCAACGGTGTATCCCTTTTCAGCCTTCCCCCTTCACCCGTCAGTGTCCTCACTTTTTGTAAAGGTTCGGCGACAAGATTCGAATTGTCGATGGGTCCTGGCATGCCTTGACTTCGTTTTGATCCAGTGGTACCCGAACTACTCGAAACACCCGAACTCGAAGCTATACTGCAGGTGTCGCCTTTGCCAAGGAGGTCACCCATTGATTCCATGCTGTTCGAGTTGAATTCGTTTGAGTCGGTGCCATTGCTGATAAGACTTTCGTCGCAAACGATGCCTTCTTCGACGAGACGAGGGTCGGTGGTGCGGCACGTACAATAATCGAGGTTGTTCCGGGGAGCGGTAGTGTAGTTTAGCCAGTTCTGCCACCATTCGGACGAGATAAGGTACCAGAATTGACCCACGTGATAGCCACGACGCTCTTCGCGTTCCAACCATCCCGTCACTAGCACAAAAATAAATAACAAAGTGAAGAGAAATACAGACAAAGAGTCAAAAGTCTTTTGTCTTCACATTTATTCAATATTGCCAACTTAATTTCAAAGTCATAGGTCACTTTAATCAAACTACTTATACCGGGTACTGTAAATTATTGGGATTTTTGATATTTTATCATCTAGTTGGCGTTAAATTTAGAATCATAAGTTAGCAAACTTAACTCAAAAACGTCAAAATACCCTTTGTTAATAACAAATTTGACATTACTACTTGTCATTTTTGACATTCTTACATAAGATTGTTTGACTTTAATGACAACTGACTACACTTAATAAAACTTTTTAATGGATTCTTATTTTTAATGATCTAAAAATTATTGTATTTATTGTCAAAATTGTCAATTGTTTTGTTTGTGGTTGGCGTAAACAATGTGTGAGAAAAAAACAAAGTTAAAGTTTTAATTGATTAAAGGCACAGTTTTCAAACATTTTTTTTTTTAATCGAACTACATAAAGTAGACCATGCTTTCAAATAACTTTCCGATCAAGCTGATTTCCGACTTTGAAATTAAATTGGCAACCCTGAACATATTAGATTGAATGAGTCAAAATGCAAAATATAAACTCTCATAACTTCGAAATTTTTATAGATAGAATTTTTTTTTAATTTTTTCTGTGTTCCTGGTATTTTTTACCTTATATGGTATTTTTCTCTGAGGCGCGAGTTTTGGCGCACTCTGAATAGCATTTATGTGTACCAAGAAAACTAAAATCTTTCTAATTATGGAAAAAATGGATTCCAATTTAGAATAAGAAAGTTTAAAATATCCTAAAATATGTATACTGACATTAAAAAAAAAATTCTAAAATCGCCATTTTATACGAAATTAAATGTTATTTAATTTAATATAACAGCATTTACCGTTTTTTAAAAATCACTTTGTATAATATGAATACTAATCCAGTCGAAATAGTTAATTTTGACTAAAGTTGTAAATTTTACAACAATCCAACTTACGGATTTTTATACCATTAAACCTAGGAATCTCTAATTTGCATTACATTGCAGACTTTAGTCAAAATTCACTATTTCGGCTGAACTAGTTTATAAGTTATCATTTGAGATATTGTGTCATCCGTTTATTTACTTTGGATTCTAAGTTTTGTTACACTCAAAATTTTTATTGTATTTATTAACAAAACTAATTGTTTTCTTTTTTTTTTCTATTTTTGTAAGCAATTGTGAGATAACATAATTTTTCGTAAATTCTAAATATAAATATCGGACCGATTCGTGTAAAGTCGGGCCATATCGACTCACCAATGTCGTGTTCGTGGTGTCTACAAGCCGGCCTCAAAACAAACGAAACATGACAGACTTGAAACAATAACTCCAACATTGGTTCAACCAATCCATTATCTTCAACACCCCAAACCAAAAACTCCTCCTGACTCAAACCTCCTTTACCATCAAGTCTTTGAGTCAAAGAATGCAAAATTTTACTATGATCTTCGTCCTTATCACTATCAAAATTCCCATCAAAACTATTAAATCTTTTGTTATTTTCATTTGCAACAAGCATCAAGGTACGAATCATATGTTGAAGTTCATCTGGATTCAGGTAACAATCTCTATCCATATCAAATATTTTGAAACAAACTGAAAAAAAATATTGAGAAAGAATCAACATTTTTTTTTATTTCTTACATTTCATTCTTTCAGCTATTGGTCCACGACACGCCGCCGAAATCCCACAACATAATTCTTTGAAATCGATATGGCCGTCTCTGTTTACATCAAGTGCTAAAAATAATCTTCAAATTTTTTTTATTAATAAGTTTTACAACAAATGTAATTTTTGCTTCTTACCCCTCGCATGCGGTCAATGGAATCGGCGGACAAATCATCGACCTGACACAATTTAAATCTAAATGGCACGAAGGTGAAGAGCTTTGAAGTGTCCAAAAACATTTTTCTAATTCGCAAATGTCTTGTTCTTCGAGATGGGTCACGCCGGCTAAAGTCTGGTAAAAAGTTGGTGCTTCGACTTCGGAACTTAGTGATACACAAGGGTTTGAGAGTAACCTGAAAAAAAATAATCGCTTGAGACTTTTTCTAATAAAAACCTTGATCAATATTGTAAAAATGTAAAAGATTGCATGCAATTTTATGCATAATCCTTGAATTTATTCCACCTTCATAAATTACAGTGTATCGACATCGGTGATCTATTTAGGTACACCTGTGAGTGTACTAATTTGAGAATAAATTGCGATAAACGCTAAAACGTGAGCCGGTTGTTAAATATTTCTTCTAACTTCATTAATAAAAGGGATTTTTTATTGAAATAACACTTAAAAAAATAAATGCATCAAAAATTAATTAATTAACTAATTAACGTTACTAAAATTACGTCTTATACTTCAACAATTAAACTACAATTTAATGATTGTCAAAATAAACAAAAAAGCGAATTCCTGCAGATCAGTTCTTTAGCTTTTCTTACATTCAGAGGCAACCATTAATATCTAGTATTGCCTCCTCGAGCCTGGAAAAAAGCTCAGTTTTTTATTGTTGTCTCTTAGAAATTAGTGGTGATTTTGATAATTTGACATTTATTTAGTAAACAATGATTCTACACCAATTGTTTTTAAAAAATCCAAAGTTGACTGAGTTACTTGATAATGCTACTATCCTATATCAGCAATTTTAGTATTATTTTCAGAACCATTTAGCCATTTTAAATCTTAAAATTTAAGTGATGCGATAATTATACAAGTCAGTGTATTTTCAAGCGAGAATAAAAACACAAAAATATTTTAGAGAAAAGGAAAATATTCATTATTTCCTAAAAACTACTACCAAACTGACAATTTTATTTGTTTTCATCGTTTTTACTTTTATTTATTTTTTTACTTTTACATTTATTTGTTTTTTTTTGCACTTTAAATGTACAATGGCGAGCATAAAATGTTGGTAGATAATTTCATTTTGAATATTCATCTTTTTTTTTTAAGTTGTTTCCCTGTGTAATTTTGGCAAGGGAGTATATTAGGGAATGACATTGACTACTAAAATTTAATGCTCCACATTGTACAATGACGAGCATAAAATTTTGGTAGGTAATGTCATTTTCAAACTTCATCTTTTTGTCAAAAAAAGTGGTTTCCCTGTGTCATTGTGACAAGAGGGTATACAGGATGTTCATTTTTTGAGCTCCACGATGGGGATCTCAATTATTATAAGAGATACGAGGTCGGTTAAATTAGGACAAAGTTGCGCATTTTTATGCTGAACAATAATCTGAAAGAAAATTTAATGTGTGATGTTTAGTCATGTTTATGTCGTGAATAGTAGCTATACATATTTTGTGCTTCTTAAATAAAATACAAGCTGTATATTTCAACGTCATCACTTTATTTGGTTTTAAAGAAACAAAACATGTTTAGTGACTATAAAAAATGGGTCAATATGGAAAAGACATTAATTTGAAATTTCTACTCCTGAATAAAATGTATGTAAATACTTATTTCTGTCGCCCGCTGTATTTACGTACATATGTAGAGTCCGTTTTTCTAAGAGGTACACACCAATATAATGGCCCAGTAACACATTTAAGACTAAATTTGTAACGCGCATGCTTGACGTAGGGGTTGCATGTCATCAGTAGCGTACTTTAATTTTTCTTCCACTTACCTACCCCTACCAAACAGACAAACGGCCTTTAGCAAGCATAAATCAAATTGTTTTTTTTTTCGTCTTTTGTTAATTGTGTATTTTGGTAAGTACAAACAATTTTTTTTTAATATTTCAAGCTTTTATTTGGTACGTAAAGAATGTGATGCAAAATTATTGTGAACATTGTTAAATCTTTTATTTTACGAGTATTATTCAAAATTAAAATGTTCAATAATTAATAACAAATGTACCATGGTTGGCTAAAAAAAATCATACACAGATGACGGACAACAGATCCGAAAATTATAACTTTGAGTTGTGTAAACACTGCTTTTTTAAAAAAGGTTATGTTTGGATAGACTTGATGGGACGGACTAAGATGTTAAAATCGCTCAAATTTGAATCTACTGAACATCACCCTCAGCAGCAATTGCCCGTATCGAAATTCCGTCTCTTAAATTTCGTGCTATAGTCTGTTTTTAAGTTTCAGTTAAACCCATTTTATCGTATTGACTAGCACTGCAGACTTTGATTTACAATATTAAAATTTTAGCTGTACGAGTTTTTTATGTCCACCACGTATGTTACACCACTGGCAAGCGATTTTAGCTCCCTTCTCTAAAAGTTGGAGCAGATTCTCGATCCCGGCCATGTACCTCTTAGAAAAACGGACTCTATATATGAGTACATACAGGATATGAAACCAAGCGGCTTTTTTAATCATTTGCCTTCAAAAAATAATAATTAATATAAATTAAAGTAATATAAAAAATGTGATCGTATTTTGAGAACGAAATTTTGTTTTGTTTTTGAGTTATGAGAATTTTTTTTTGTCAAAATTGCAATTTATGTAAAAATAAAAAAAAAGTAATATAAGGTAGATAGTTGAAATTCTTAGATTATAATATAACCTTCATAATAAAAATGATTTTATAGTGGGCTGCCATTTAAAAAAATATTTTTTTTGTAGAACTCAAAAAAGAAAATTTCGAAAAAATTTACTCTTGATAAAACGTCACATTTTTATGGTAAGTACTTTAAAAAATAAATAAGTTTAAGCAAAAATCGTTTGGTTCCATACTTTTTATTCACCTGGTATATAAAAATATGTAATTTGAATAAATTCGTCAAAAATTTAACGTTGCTTGATGAAAGTAGAGACATTCCACATGAAAAAATTGAGTTTATTCCGTGAGGGATGCCACGGTTTATTCACAACTTAAGGATGTGGATCATCAAATATGCTGAGAATGATGGATTTTGTACAGCAATCACAAAAATATGCAGCAAGTGAACCTTTTTACATTTAATTATCCTACAAATATCAGTTCTAAAGTTCAAAAGTGCAGCAACACTAATTTTAGTGTAATAATGGGATAATAGTAAGAATTTTATAATTGATAAAACATTTATACAAATAATAAAATATTAGTTCGGCGATTAGGTAGTTATATTTACTTACGCTACCACGCATTATCAAAAAAATCGAATCAACTAGGTATAAATCTTTAAAACAATAAAGTAATAATTTAAGTAGCTTAAAGCTGTTTACTTATCAAGTTCAGTCCCGTTGACAATATTGTTAGAAGCATTTTTAGCTCTTCGTGCTGAATATTTTGGCTAGGACAAAAATTAAATTTGATTTATTTGTGTTCAATAATTAATTTTCATTCAAAGAAAATAAAATCTAATTAAGAAAATACAAAAACTAGACAATTAACAACAAATAAAGACAATTTTACAAAACTAGGTAACTAAACAAATGACTAATTGTGATAATAAACAAGTGTCAATATTCTTTATCATAATCACATGTTTATTTTATTTTTTAGAACAATTTACTAATGAAAATTGTTTACAACACAGAAAAAATTATTTCTAGATTTAACACAACAATAAAAAAAAACGTTGCATTATCTTAAGCTCATCGAATTAATAAGAATTTAATGTCTTTATCTAATCATCTTAAGTATTTCCAGATAATTAAACAAAGTATTTCACTTAAAACAAAAACCATTTAGAATCGACAAAGAATTAGTGTTAACAAAAATCATATTGCCGTTTACTCACTAACATTATATTTTTTTATCTAATCAATAATGACTTTTATTAATTATATTTTGTCATTAAACTTGACATTACTTTGGAACAAAAATAGTTTATCACTAATTAAAATAATGTGTTTTATAACATATTTCTAGACGTGACCTTGGACCATCAATTGTCATTTAAACATGTCAAAAATGACAAGTATCCCCAGCCACCCACTATAATAACTTACCACTTTGACAAAATCGTTGCCTCCTTATTGTATTGTATCCAAGCACTGAAATGTTCATAAGTCACTCGATCCTGTCCCACAGGAAAAAGCGACAGCATTGGGCTCGCCCACAGGATATTGGGTCTGTTGGGTTTATCGGGTGGCAAAGTCCCTTCAGTCTGCAAGGCGCTATAAAACTCATTTCTTGTAATATGGGTACCCGAATCGTTGCAATACAAAGTGAACAAAAACCGAATCTTCTCATCTTGCTTGCCTTTGGTGAGCAGGACCAGTCCACAGATGAGGTCCTTGAGGGCGATGCCCCTCGGAGTGCCCCCGCACGCGATGTACAACCACTCGGCGATGGCCTGGGGCACCCCATCGCCCAACACGTGTAGAATAAAACTCTGTTTGCTCAGGAGTTGATTGCCGCCGCTGAGTCGTTTGAACGCCTCGCATATCCTCTTGTATTCCTCCTCAGACACTAGAATTGAATAATTGAAGGAAATTAGGGATTTTTTTGGGTTAAGTATTAATTAACGTTGCTAGTTAACAACAATAATATTTACTTAGTTATGTCACATGATGTAATGACAGGTGAGTGAATTTTGTTCAGTGGGATTTAATACGTACTTCGTTTGACGGCATCCTCGTACGGCAAACACGACCTCTTCGAGTCCTTCGCACCCATTTTCACAATTTAACGCAATCTTCTAACATTTTACGATAATTTCCAACGCACAACACAATCACGACTTGACTGCTACTTTGACATTTCACTAGTGATTTTCGTGCGGTGATGTTGGTGATTTCCGACAATGACCGAACATGTCCGAAAGACAAATTAATTTAAAACAAATTCCACAAATTTTCTTCTTAAACAATTACGTATTTAATACATTGTTTACGTATCAATAATTAAAATCAAAATTTGTAAATAGTAATATCAAAGCGGGTGTGTTTCCACTTTGTGATAATCTAGTGACTTTTAATCGGTCGTGTTGGTGACATTTGCGACAATCGCCGAACTCTGCCGATAACTAATCAATGAAGGTGTGTGTCTAAACAATCTGATTTTTGTCAAAAAACGGTCCTTGAACAAATTGAAATTCTTGTAAATTGTTCAGGTTTTTGGAATGCTTAAAATGTCACATTGAGACCGGATCGGCGGCCATTTTGCGTAACAGATGATGTCTTTGCCAAGCAGCATGGGGCCGTCAAAGCTCAAAAAGAAACACTTCAGGGTGAAGCATCAGAAAGTCAAGCTTTTTAGGGCGAATGAACCGTTTCTGTCGGTATTTATGTGGGGGATTAATCACACTGTACGTATCTGAAAAAGTTTCATTTGGAAGTTTCATAAATTCGTTGTAGATTAATGAACTGATGCATGTCACCATTCCTGTCATGCTTTTTCCTGACGATTTTCGGGCGTATTCAAAGATTAAAGTTGATAATCATCTGTTTAATAAGTATGTTTTAAGTAGAATTGAGAGAAAAAATAGGTAAAATTGCTATTTTTTAGAGAGAATATGTCCTCGCATTTTAAGGTTAAGGAATACTGTCCTTTGGTATTTAGGAATATCAGGGAGAGGTTTGGAATTGACGATTTAGACTATAAAGAATCTCTAACTAGGTAAGTTATTATTAGTATAAATGTTCAAGGAAATCCATTGCTTATGATAAGCATATCATTGATTATTTTGATAAGGATTCCAAGAAAAACAAACTAATTCATTGTTTATTACTCAATTGTTCACCATGTTCTTAGGTCACACTTATTTTTGTTCAAACTTTTCAGGTACAATTAAGAATAAAAAAGTGTGATTGTATAGGCAACCAATTATACAAATCACAATTTTAGAAATTAAAAACAGATGCAGTTTTTGAATTCACAAGAATAATTACATGTTTTAAAAAATAACTCTTTTGTGGTACACTTTTTAGTTTTTTTTTTTTTGGTTAAATTATTTGTGAAATTTTTACTTCTGAATTACAGAATTCAAAGTTTTTCAGTTTACAATAATACAAATACAAATTTGCGCTAGGTATACTAAAATACACAAGTTTACCGCAGTTCAAGTTGGAAAGCTGGTATTTTGTGAGAATTCAGTATTTGGAAGTTGAAATTCCAATGTACATATTTAACTTACAAAGTCTAAATTTTACAAAAAGGTGGAATTTTTAATTTAAAGGGAATTATAAGAGTAGAATAGAAATAAATACCTAAAAATAAAAGAAAAAAGTAACAAACACAGGTAAATATTAGCAGCATTCTGTGAAATAAAAATTATTATTTTAAAATTACAAATCCATGCAAAGTTTAATCCTGTTTATTCTTAAGTTTGGAAGTTGGAGTTCCGACTCTAATTGCGAACTTCGAAGTTAATTTGAAATAGTTATTTCTTTTTTTTTAACAACAGCTGATTGATTTATACCAGGTGAATAAAAACGTTTTTTGCTTAAACTATTTATTTTTTAGAAAAAGTAATTGATTAATGATAAGTACTATAAGTACTATAAAAATGTGATGTTTTATGAAGAATAAAATTTTTTGAAATCTTCTTTTGTTTTTGAGTTCAAAAAAAATTTGAATTTTTTTAGATGGCATCCCACTATAAACCATTTTTCTCATGAAGGTAATGATTTAAGGATTACAACTATCTACTTTATATTTAATTAAAAAAAATTACATAAATAGCAATTTTGGCCAAAAATAACGCATAACTCAAAAACAAAACAAAATTTCGTTCTCAAAATACGATTACTATTTTTATATTTCTTTAATTTATATCAGTTATTATTTTCTGGAAGCAAATGATTTAAAAAACCAGCTTTGTTGTAAACTTTATATTCACCCTGTATAAGAAACCAAATTACAAGTTTCAAAGTTGGAATGCAATTCAAAATTACGAAATAGAAAGTTGAATTCATACAAAATTTCGAGTTTCGGTTTAATACAACAATATTATGAGATTAAAAATTCCGGATTTGTTTGGAACTTTAAAAAAGTGAGAATTTTAAGTTCAATTTAAATTCAAAAATAAAAGTTTCAAATTTTAAAATAAGAATAAATAGAGTTTAAGGATAGAAATTTCGACTCAATTCCAAATTTGGTAATATAAATTCTCTTTATTGTTAAGGTAGATTCTGAATTTTGAGTTTGGAAATTTGAATACTTTCAAGTTTTGAAAGTCTGTTGAATCTAAAATTTATAAGTTAAAAAAGTTCTTCAACATAAATGTGAAAATAGAAATGTTAGGCTTAATCATTCAAAATTGTGAATCCAAATTGAAAATTTCGAATTTATTTATCAGATTTAAATTTAGAATTTTTTAAATATTTTTTCCATGTTCCTGCTATCTTATCTTACTTGAAATTTTTCTGTGGGGCGCGAGTTCTGACACTCTGTATGTACTACTTTTATACTATAAGAAACTAATTTTCAGAAAATTTTGGAATTCGACTTTTCTTGAATGTCCCAAAAAATGATTGTTTAAGATTAACTACCACTAGTAAAAACACTTCTAAAGTAACTGTCATCATAGTTTCCGAAGAAATTAACAAAAAATATATATGTATATTGAGAATTTACCCTTCCTAAGTAAATATTATTTTTTTCTTATTTTTTTTTCGTAATGTTTTCAGATCACAACCCTTGCCAGAGGATTCTAGTGGCAAAAGTGGCGCCAAGTTTTACCAAAGTTTCGACAAACTTTTCATCATCAAAACGTTGACTTCTGAGGAGGTCGAGAGGATGCATTCATTCCTCAAACATTATCATCCGGTAAATTCCCTAAAAATCACTTCAAATCTATTTTCAATGAACGTTTCTTGTTTAGTATATAGTCGAAAGGCACGGTAAAACTCTCTTGCCTCAATACCTCGGAATGTATCGTTTGACAGTCGACAACGCTGAAACCTACATTGTAGTGACTCGAAACGTTTTCTCAAATCACTTAAACATCCATCGAAAATTCGACCTGAAAGGTTCGACTGTCGATCGTGAAGCATCTGAAAAAGAACGCGAAAAAGACCTACCGACGCTCAAAGATAACGATTTTGTCAACGAACAAATGAAAGTTTACATTGGAGAAGAAGCGAAACAGAAATTGATGGATACGTTAACAGCCGATGTGGAGTTTTTGACCAAATTGCATTTAATGGATTATAGTCTTTTGCTCGGTAAGTTGAAGGGTGCTTTGACAAAGAGAGTGATTTTTTTCGGTTTAGGAATCCACGAAGTCGAGAGAGGCGAACAGGAAATGGCAAGGGAAAGAGAATTGGAGTCGGAAAATGCCGGACAAGAGTCAGACGAAAGTGAGAGTGGGTCGGGCTTAGAAAGTCGAAATTTTGGATTTAATACGCCGCCAGATTCGCCGAATGCACTTGCTCAGTTCATGCGAGAACATAGTTTACAGTATGAAGGTAAGGTTTTTTTTTAACTATGATCAACAATCAAAATTTTAGTGGTGTTATAACAAGTATTTCAAAGCTCAGTTTGTATTAGTTTATCTAACTCGTTAAAAACTTCTTTTTCGGAACTAAGTTTGTATTATCAAAATGTTGGTGGTCTTAATTCAAAGTTAAAGCAACTGGCTAATTCTTCTTCTTTAAGATGGTTGCTTTTACCGAAACTTGGTTGAATGGTTCAGTTTTTGATGCGGAAATTTTATCAACAATAACAATTTTATCGCAGTTAATGTATATTTTTTTAAATTCATATTGCTTCTCTCTACTACGTCAGGTTACTAATAATGTTAATTATTAATTAATAATAATGTTAAAATTATTAGAGACTTTAACATTCGTAAATTTTCTTGTACAGCACTTCCCAAATCAACTAAATCTGTTGAATTTTATCAATTTATTAACTTCTTAAATCATCAGCAATTTAATAATACTTTAAATCCTCGTGGTAGATGTTTTGACCTAGTTCTAGCTAATTTTCATTGTTCTGTTGAAAGCCCACCTGAAACATTACTTTCGGAAGATGCTCTTACTAACGATCTTTGAAATTGCTCAGATGTCACGTAAAATAAATTCTTTTGCTCCAGCTAAATACTAAAAATTATTTCTGGAATTTTAGTAAGTAGTCTTTTTGATTCACTGTCTGCGGTTGATTGGTTTTTCCTAGAAAGTTTTATTGATGTCAATAAAATGACTGAAATTTTATGATAAAATATTCAGTTGTTAATGTGTGTGTTTCTAAAGGAACATTTCAAGTAAGATACCAAGAATAAGGAAAAAATGTTTAAAAAATTCTATCTGTCAAAAAATTTTGACATTTGTCATTTTTTATGCCTATTTATGATACTGATTATCTTGTATATGGTATTTTTATAATTATTTAGTAAAGGTACAAAAAATTTGCCAGTAGAAGCCACAAATAACATTCTTCTTTGTTTTCTCTTCTAATAGCCTCTAGCAGAATTAAATTATTTTTCCAACAGAAATAAATAGAGTCAAAGTGCAAAATTTAAACTCTCATAACTTTTATAAAACTTTAAAGTAAGTACTAGTATTAAGTTAGTTAGTCAAGATATTAGATTTCTGAAAACATGCAAACGCCATTCAGTTTTTCCAAATTTTATGCATATTAAAATCTCCAATAATTGTAAGAACAGCAAACGCATTGAACGATTTGCAAAAGAAATATCATGTCTGAAATCGAATATCTATATGTAAAGCGAAGTAGGCTTGAAATTCAAGCATACGAGCTTTGGAAACAATTAACTCTAGGTCTTAGTGAATTAGAATTCCAACAATGGTGTAATTTTCAAAGGTACATGTTTCGGGTTATAGACAAAAAACTTATGAATAAAAAATTTTCACATTTTAGAAAACTTAGTGCTCTTATAAAAGATTATCATGTTCCTACGAAAGTTATAAATATTGTTGAAAATCATTCTTCTCAAACTTTTTCTGATAAAGAACTTAATCTTTTGAACAAAGGTTTGAAATTTGGTCTACAGGATTCTCGACCAGCTGTTGAGGAGGTCATTGCCGGGATAGAATCTTCTATTCAGCGTTTTGACGAACCYACAAAACAGTTCGTGAGAGTGGCCTGTAGGCAAGTGATTTCAAATAATTTTAACAATCATAAAACTTTTTGCAACAATGACCATTTTAAAATCATTAAAAGTTTGCGTTCGAAAGATTGTTTTTATGTTAAAGCAGACAAAGGTAATAAGGTTGTTATTCTTGACAAAAAGGATTATTATGAGAGGGTTAACCACCTAATCAACAATGGTCCTTACAAAACGATTTCGAAAAACCCTTTGCCAAAAATGATTAGAGAAGTCAGCAACACTTTGAAAACTT